CACTGTGTTTTTATTGTGTTTAAATATGTTCAGCTTTTGGTGTGACATTTGTACTGTACTTGTTCTGCGTTGCTTGCATGTCAATTGGTGTTATGTTGTTGGGTGGTGTGTGTTGGTGTACGGCTTTTCTTTTGATGCTTCGGTGCCTTAATGTTGTAATGCTTTCCTTGTCATGTATTTGTTTTATAAATAAAAGAAAAAAATTGGACCACTGTACATATACTGACGTAATGGATAATAAGAAAGAAGAATTTGGTACTATTGAATTTGGACAAACCAGAAAAGGTTTTGTGCTGATAATGAAACCAAACCTAACCATCCTATGCCTAATACACTACATATATGTGCTATACTAGCCCGAGAACAATTTAAGTTCTGTTTTTAACTATTTTTTCCGAACTATCAAGTGAATAGTACCAAACTCTACTATAATTATCCTCTACGTCAATATACAAGTTGGATGGTCCACACAGCTGCAAAACGTACTAACTAAACAGGAAGATGGGTTGTAATAATGCTATCCTAGGCCTAATAAGTTGTGCAAGTAAGAATACAATTAAATTAACTTCAAGAAGCCTCGGTGCTAATGTGAATAACCCGGTTGGGAGACTAGCGCAAAAGTAACAACTCGGGGGCAATTCTACACTGTAAAATGCAGGCTCATTCCAATTGTCAGGTTTATTACGGACAAACCAGGATTGGCCTAATAAGTAATAACAACTAATAAGAACATAAAGAAAACCACCCCATAACACAAAGGGGTGTTAAACACAATAATATCCCGGGCTCCCCAAACCCCCACACAGAGGAGCACAACAGTACACAAAAGGCAGGTACCATATACAAAGGAGCATTAAACACACATAATATAAATAGCATAAAAGGTACAAGGAATAAAATGTGCACAGAACAAAATAATGAAGCACACACACACAACCCATGTAACAAACACAGGGTACAACAACACACACAACCCACACACCAACAAGCCCGCCACCCTAACACACTGGGCACGAGCAAGGCATACCACACCAAACACACCCAGCCAAGCAGAAGCCCACGCAGGAGCCAGGAAGGAAACCACACACACACCCACACTAAATACACAAGCACAAGAGCAGCCACAACAGAAACAAACCACACGCACCTCGCCCAGCCTCCGCCAAGGAGGCCCCCAGAAGGGCCGGGGCCCCAAATGGAACCCGAACAGACCCACCCCTCCAGCCCACAACCAATAGTCAAGAACCCAACCCGAACCATCCCACACCCAGCTACACGAAGACCCCCCAACCTCACACGAGATCAACCACCCCCAAACAACAATGCCCTCACTCACCCAAAGGCAACCCCACGAACATAGGCATCAGTAAACCAACCACAAAAGGTCGCCGGAAAAGCGCGCTGCAACCACCACCAGGTGTATCGCATGCGGCCTCGCAAAAAGCCCAAAACCCGCACAACCCCATAACCGTCCCTCCGACCAACCCACACACAATACACACAGTCAGCAACGAGAATGCATAAAGTATTCCGCACCCGTCTAGAACCCCTCGTAAAGGACAAAAATAAGAACCGCAAAAAATCACCCCGAAACCCTGGCCCACAAACCACTTCCAATACATCCCGAAACCAATCAACCAAACCACGCAACCGCTCACAAAAATAAAAGACATGCACCTGCGATTCAGGTAACCCACAGTGCACACACTCCGCAGAGGCGTGCAAACCCAGCATGCACAGCCGTTCATTCGTTGCTAACGACAAATGCAACATACAAAACAACAACTTCCGCTGCTGTGGCGCCAAAAACCGCCCCCCCCCCTAAGCCGCCCACACCTCCCCCCAATCCCAACACGAGAACAAGGCCTCCACCCGAGGACGGATACGACAGAACAACACCTCATAAACAGCCCTACTCGAAAGAGACATAAAGCCAGGACTACGGCAGAGAGCCCGAAGAATGTCCACCGCCCAAGAGTATACAGGTGGGGTACACAGAGCCACCTCCCGACAATCCCCCAAATCCACCAAGAAACTAAACCGAACCGAGCAATAAAAAACACACAAAGCATTAAGCCCCCACCCAACTCCAACCCCCGTCTCAACGAGACCCAGAACAACCCCCGAGCCTTGGTAAACACGTCAGGAATACCGACACCACCCTCCCGCACAGCCAACACCAACGTCGAGCGACGAACTGGATGGTAACGACCACACAACACATACCGATACACCTGACGTTCCAACTCCAGAGCCTTCCGGCGATCTAAAGGGAAGCACCCAGCCACGAACCACACACGCAACAACACTTTGCAGGTAACAAGCAACGCCCGCTGATAGATCGTCAATGGGCGCACTGACAACATCCCAATCGCAAGGCCAACACTACGAGAGACCACATCCAAATTCCACTCCAAAGAGCACTCGTAGGAAGCAAACCAGGTGATCCCCAGAACCCGCAGAGAGGAGACCACTGGAAACCACGACCCCTCCCACACAAGGCGAGAGGCCCACCCACCCACACCCATGATACCAGACTTAGCACGATTAACCAGGGCTCCAGTGGCCAACTCAAACCTCTCAACAACGGCCTGCACATCTCCGACAGAATCCTCAGAAGCCACAAACAGAACGGTATCATCCGCATAACCACAGATGGGCAACCGAAGACCAGAAGGCAACCGGGGAGGGACTACCAAGGCACAAGCCTTGACCGCCCGAAAGAAAGGCTCCTGAAAGAGCACATAAAGAAGCATAGAAAGGGGGCAACCCTGCCGCACAGAACGGCGAACAGGGAAAGGAGCACTCAAGCACCCATTGATGCAAACTCGACTACAACAATGAGCGTACAACATGCGCACCCAACGAACAAACAAAGGCGGAAACCCAAGCCGCTCCAACACACGAAAAACAAAGGCCAGCGACACCCGGTCGAAAGCCTTCGACCAATCCAAACAGAGCATCGTCGCTGACAAGTGTGACTCTGACACATAGAGAAGTACATCCCGAAACAACGAACTACACTGCATCAAGGAGCGACCAGGAACACCACAAAACTGCTCCGCAGAAATGACAGACGCAACAACACCACGACATCGACCAGCCAAAACCTTGGACACGATCTTATAGTCCACATTTAACAAAGTAATGGGCTGCCAATTCGAGAAGAACTATAAATCGCCTGGCTTCGGGAGCAACCGCACGATCCCATCACACTGGGACACTGGCAGAACCCATGAAGACAAGACCGCACCACCTCCAAGAAAACACCCCCCAGCACCTCCCAAGAAGTAATATAAAACGCCACAGGAAGGCCATCCGAGCCTGGCACCTTCCCAGAACGAAACGACCGGACCACACCTAAGAGCTCCTCCAATGAAACATCACTCACTAAACGATCACAATCCGCAGCAGACAACCCCGGAACGCACCGACTCAAGAATACATCCGCAAGCGCGTCGTCCCCCACCACCTCCCCATAGAGCGCCTCCAACTCCTGCCGAACATAATGCACCACCCTATCGGTGTCCAAAACGACAGTCCCATCTGGCCGCAGAAGGACCTGAAAAAGGACAGAATCACGCGCAGCCTTGACCTTACCCAAGAGAAAGGAAGAAAGACGTTCCCCATTGACATGCTCACTCACACGAGCACGCACACGAACACCTTCAGCCCACTCACCACGCAAACCACAGATACGCTCCTTACACTCTGCAATATCCCCAAAACAATCAACCCCAGCATTCAGCCGCACATACAACCACGAAAGCCGCGCCTGCAGCAACCGCAGCAAACCAAACCTCCCAGCAGCCTCCCGCTTGGCAACCACCCGAAAAAACGACCGACACTGCACCTTACTCCACTCCCACCAATCCAAAAGAGAAGGAAACTCAGGCCTCCGGGCAAGAACCCCGACCCACCAGACCCGAAACTGCCCACAAACACGCGGACTGCGCAGCAAACCACAATTTAGTTTCCACCACCTCGCACCCACTCGCACCTGACTGCGTACACCAACCCGGACCACCACCAAACAATGGTTCGAGAAGGCCACCGGGACAGTGCGGAAATCAAACACGGAACACTCCCCACCAGTAACATAAATCCTATCAATCCGAGAACATGCTCCATGCGTAGCAAATGTAAAATCCAACACGCCGCCACAGAGCACAGCAGCATCCCGGAATCTGCAAGAGCGCACCACCTCCAGCAGCGCACCCGTAACATTATGCAGGTGGGCGCTATTACAGTCCCGCGCACTCGTCACACAATTGAAATCCCCCCCCAAAATCATACCCTGCGTATCATGACGCAGGAAGGGGAGAAGCCCCACCCTAAAAAACTCCTCCCACTCCTGGCGACGCGACGCCCCCGAGGGGGCGTACACCATCAGGAATGGAGTCACAACCCCCAAAAACTCCACCCGAACAAACAAAACCCGCCCATCCTCATCCATCTCCGTGTGAAGCACGGATATGGAAGCTCTCCTAGAAAATAACATAAGCGTCCCCACAAAGGACGTCCTCGGCGGATTCAGCACAATATGATAATTAGCACACAAACCCTGAAGCACAGACACATCCCTAACATTATGCTCTTGTACCAGAGCCACATCCACACGCTGCTCCTACAGAACATCCAATAGGCCCAACTGGACCGCAAGATCATTCAAACCCCGAACGTTCAATGACGCACATACAACAGAGGGCGCCATCAGAAGAACCTCAGGACACCCCCAATCCCAAACGTCCCCCGGGGGGAACACCAGCATCCCCCGCGGGAGCCGCACCTGCAACACCAGGCGCAACCACCCGCTGCACCCCAGATGACGACCTCACATTGATGGGTGAACGAGGACACTTCTGAAGCTTCAAGGGACTAACACCATGCGACGAATCGCACCGAGCCTCCGACGCCACCATCCACTCTGCCCCCTCGTCCCCTGCCTCCCCGGAACCCGCGTCGGCAGCACCGCCCCCCCACACCGCCTGGCCCCTAGGATGACGGAAGAGGAAGAACTGAGGGAGCAACGCCCGCCAAAACCACACCACACGAAGCCTCGATCCTCTTCCCAGGGGGGGGCCCTGCTGCACGACCGATCCTTCGGAGCACACTTCCGGCGAGGGGCAGAAGAACGCAACGATTTCACGGAGGCACATCACCAACAACAGCAGACGGGTGCTCCACCGCACCAGCCTCAGGAACACCGCTGGGTGCACAGTCAGGAGTCACGGGGCCCACACCACCTCCAGCCCCGGGAAGTTCACCATCCCCAGCACAAGGGTCACACCCCATCTCCACACCAACACCGACCAACGCCATGGACTCACACGGATCTTAATGCACCTCCGCAACCGCCGTCAACTGAGTACAGGGAGCAGGAACCTCCAGGGCCGCAGAGCCAACCGGCAAAGCAGACAAAACAGGAGCAGATGAAGAGGCAGGCACGTCAGGTGAGAACACTCTACCAGGCACATCCACAGAGCCCTGACCATCCGTGGACGGCCCACTCCCCGGCAAGCGCGGAAAATCTTCCTCATGGAACACCGACGGGTCCTCCATTCGAGGAACACGGCAAACAGCAGCGAAGTGACCCTCCTCACCACACCTGAAGCAGGAGTGATTCTGGCCCTGGTAGAATACCCACACGTAGAAGCCACACACCGCCACCCGGGAGGGAATAGCCCCAGTGAGCCTCATGCGCAACGTACGCGCACCCATATGGAGCCCCCTGCAGCCGTCCACCATGCAGAAGGTTGAATCAATGCCCCGACACCACACCAAATTTTGCAAACAGAGCACACAGCTCCATCTCAGGGAAGTTTACAGGCACACCGTGGATGCTCACAAAGGTCAAGGGCCCCCACTGATTCGAGACCTCCACGGTCACAGCTGAATTGGGAAGAACACGCGACTGCGCATCCCAGCTGCGCACAAACTGCTGGTAGATAAGTGACGTGGTGAACGTCACCGCCACACGGGTTAGCGAAAGTTTCTCTAAGCCAAGGAGATCGGGGAGATCCACACCCAGTACGTCCAGTAGGGCAATCTCCACAAGGGGCCAGTCAACAGGGGCAGAAAAGTCAAGCCGGATAGTGTCAACACGGCGAACACGGCCACCCCCAGCCGCCGCCATACCACCTGCCGGCCAGCGGCCAGTGGCTGCTCTACACCAACAATGAATTACCATTCAGCAGCGACAGGCAAACACTGGCAGCTCAAGACCTACGTCCTCGCCCTCCGGTGTCAGAGCAGCGAATCCGTGTTAGAGACTATGCGCTTGACGGCCAGAGTTGGATGTCCGGTTTATGGCTCAGCTGATCGTTGCTGCTTTAGTTTCGTTTTCTATGTTTGATTGTGTGTGTGTGTGTGAGTGTGTACTTACCTAGTTGTGCTTGTGGAGGTTGAGCTCTGGTTCTTTGGTCCCGCCTCTCAACTGTCAATCAACTGGTGTACAGAGTCCTGAGCCTACTAAGCTCATATCTACACTTGTAACTGCGTATGGAATCTGCTTCCACCACATCACTACCTAATGCATTCCATTTGTCAACTACTCTGACACTGAAAAAATTCTTTCTAACGTCTCTATGGCTCATGTGGGAACTCAGTTTCCACATGTGTCCCCTAGTGCATGTGCCCCTTGTATTAAATACTCTGTCTTTATCTACCCCTATCAATTCCTCAGAGAATCTTGTATGTGGTGATCATGTCCCCTCTAACTCTTCTGTCTCCCAGTGACGTGAGGTTTAATTCCCATAGTCTCTCCTTGTAGCTCATACCCCTCAGTTCGGGTACTAGTCTGGTGGTAAACCTTTGAATCTTTTCCAGTTTAGTCTTATCCTTGACTAGATATGGACTCCATGCTGGAGCTGCATATGCCAGGATTGGTCTGACATGTGTGGTATACAAGGTTCTGATAGATTCCTTACACAAGTTTCTAAAGACCGTTCTTATGTTAGCCAACTTGGCATTTGCCGCTGATGTTATCCTCTTGATATGAGCTTCAAAGGACAGGTCTGGTGTGATATCAACACCCAGGTCTTTCTCTCTCTCTCTTTCTCTCTGACTCTTGAAGTATTTCATCTCCCAAATGATACCTTGTATCTGGTCTCCTGCTCCTACATCTATCTTCATTACATTACATTTGCTTGGGTTAAACTCTAACAACCATATGTTCGACCATTCCTGCAGCTTGTCCAGGTCTTCTTGAAGCCTCAAGCTGTCCTCCGCAGTCTTAATCCTTCTCATAATTTTGGCGTCGTCAGCAAACATTGAGAGGAATGAGCCTAAACACTCTGGGAGATCATTTAAGTATCAGAAACAGGATAGGTCCGAGTGCAGAGCCCTGTGGGACTTCACTGGTGACTTCGTGCCAATCTGATTCCTTCCGGGCCAACAGCCTTTCTCATGTCCATATCCAACAAATGCCTCTTGACCTCATCTCTCGTAATTTCCATCCCTTCCAAGGCTGCCTGGTTTACTGCTACCTCTCCTATCGCAGTGACCTCTCCTTGTTCTATTGTGAAGACCTCCTGGAACCTCTTGTTGAGTTCGTCACACACCTCTTTGTCATTCTCTGTGTATCTGCCCTCACCCGTTCCAAGTTTCATCACCTGTTCCTTCACTGTTGTTTTCCTCCTGATGTGACTGTGGAGTAACTTCGGTTCAGTCTTGGCTTTATCTCTATATCATTTTCATACTTTTTCTCAGCATCTCTTCTCACACTAACATACTCGTTCCTGGTTCTCTGGTATCTCTCTCTCTACTCTCTGGTGTTTTGTTATTTTGGAAGTTCCTCCATGCCCTTTTGTTCAGTTCCTTTGCTTTCTTACATGCCCTATTAAACCACGTATTCTTCTTTTTTTCTTCTTCATTTTTTCCTGCCGGGCCGGGATAAACCTGTTTTCTGCCTCCTGACACTTTTTGGTAACATAGTTCATAATGTCTTGTGCAGACTTAGTTCTGAGTTCTGTGTCCCATGGTATATCCCTTAGGAATTTGATCATCTCATAATTTCCTTTTGTGTACGCTAGCACTTTGTTTCTAAGTTCTTTTTGGAGGGGGGGAGATAATTCCTAGCTCTACCAGGTATTCAAAGATCAATACACTGTGGTCACTCATTTTCAAGAGGGCTTCCAACTTAACTTCCCTTATATCCGACGCAATTAGGGTAAATATCAGATCAAGCACGCTGGTTCATCCTCTCCTATCATACTTGTCGGTCCCATGATGCTTTGAAAGTGTCTTGTTGCCACGTCCAACAAATTAGCTCTCCCATGTGTACGGTTCTCCATGTGAGTCTCTCTTCTCCCAACCTATCTTCCTGTAGTTGAAGTCTCCCATAATTATTAGTCTAGATCCATTCCTGCTAGCTACAGAAGCTGCGCTCTCTATTATAATGATGGTGGACAAGTTTTTTCTTTCATATTCCTGTCTGGGTCTTCTGTTGTTAGGTGGGGGTTATATATGACTACTACTATAATTTTTTGTCCTCCAATTGCTATGGTACCTGTTATGTAGTCGCTGAAATCTTCACAGCCCTGAATATCTATCTCTTCAAAACTCCAGCTTTTTCTTATCAGCAGAGCTACACCACCATCTCCTCTTCCTTCTCTCTCTTTCCTCACTACATAGTAGTCCTGTGGAAACACTGAATTTGTTATGGATTTTGTTAGCTTTGTTTCTGTGAATGATATTATGTCTGGGGTTTCTTCTAGTGCCCATTCTCCAAGATCACTTGTATTATTTGTAATCCCATCTATGTTAGTGTACATTGCCTTGAAGCTCACTTTCTTCTGTTCATTCTCTTGTCCCCTGTCTTGGTGAGCGTTCTGCTGATGGAGGAAGCTGTCCAATATGTGTGAGGATCTGTCAGAGGTTAACAGGATCTCAGAGGGTTTTTTTTTTGGGGGGGGGGCATCAAGGGAAGAGGGGACAGGTAGGGTATGGGGAAATGTGGTAGAGGGACATGGAGAATATGGGGTGAGTGGGGAAGAGGGATAGGGAGGGTATGGGATGAAGGGGAAGGGAGACAGGGAGGGGAAAGGGGGAGGGTGGACATGGTGGGAATGGGGGGAGGGGTTACAGGGACGGAATGGGATGGGGAGAGGGAGGGTTGGATGAGCATTGGAGTGGGGGCAGGTAGGGTGAGTGATAGGGAGGGTTTCTATGCAGAGGAGGCCTCGTTTACAAACACTTTCTTTACAAGGAAGTTTCTGGCCTTGTTGTACCAGCCCAACCTGAAAACCTTCTCAATGTTTTGTTCAGCCCCTTCCATCTTTAACCCCTTTAGTATCCCATTTACTACCTCTCTGTCCTTGCTATTACATTCTTGCCTATTGGAGCCTTCCTGTTCTTTGATTCCTACAGCTACCACTGATCTTTTTCTTTCCAGCAGCTGATTGGTGCACCTTGCTGCTTCCTGTGAGGTAGCTGCTTGCATGGCTACCTCGCTGACTTTGGCCATTGCTTCTGTGCTCTTTCTCAGTATTTCTGCAAATGTTTCAGGTACAGAGGCATATCCTTCCAATGCGCCATTTCCATCTTCCCTTAGGATGATTATCTGATGGTCAATCTAATTATTTTTCTCTGTGAGGGATTTGATTTCCTCCTTTGCTGCTGTCAGCTCACTTTGCAGGTTGTTAATTGTATTCTTCATTTCATGCATCTCCTTCCTGAATTCTTCCCAAATATTCCCTTTATTTGGTCACTTTGACTTATCCCTGTGTCCCTGGTGAGTCCTATTGCCATCTTTGTCCCTTTCCCTGATATGTTTCGATAGGGTTAGCCAGAGTGGGGGGCAAAGAGGAAGGGAGAGAGAGAGAGAGAGAGAGAGAGAGAGAGAGAGAGAGAGAGAGAGAGAGAGAGAGAGAGAGAGAGCAAAAGAGAGAGCAAGAGAGAGAGAGAGAACAAGAGAGAGAAAGAGAGCAAAAGAGAGAGATAAATAGAGAGAGCAAGAGAGAGAGCGATGAAGAGAGAGATAGAGAAAACAAAAGAGAGAGAGAGAGAGAGAGAGAGAGAGAGAGAGAGAGAGAGAGAGAGAGAGAGAGAGAGAGAGAGAGAGAGAGAGAGAGAGAGAGAGAGAGAGAGAGAGAGAGCAATAGAGAGGGGGGGCAAGATAGGGAGAGGGCAAGAAAGGGGGAGAGGGAGAGGGAGGGAGATAGGGCGAAAGAGGGGAGATGGTGAGAGAGAGGGAGAAGGCGAGAGAGGAAGAGGGCGAGAGAGGGAGAGGGCGAGAGAGGAAGGGCGAGAGAGGAAGAGGGCGAGAGAGAGGGAGGGAGGGAGAGAGGGAGGGCGAGAGAGAGAAAGAGAGGGAGGGAGGGAGGGAGGGAGGGAGGGAGGGAGGGAGGGAGGGAGGGAGGGAGGGAGGGAGGGAGGGAGGGTGAGAGAGAGGGAGGGAGGGAGGGAGGGCGAGAGAGAGGGAGGGAGGGAGGGTGAGAGAGAGGGAGAGAGGGAGGGAGGGCGAGAGAGAAGGAGGGAGAGCAAGAGAGAGAGAGAGAGAGAGAGAGAGATAGAGAGAGAGAGAGAGAGAGAGAGAGAGAGAGAGAGAGAGAGAGAGAGAGAGAGAGAGAGAGAGAGAGAGGAAGGGTGGGGTGGGGGAGGAGAAGGATTG